CTGGGTATTGAACCTGGGTCCTCTGGAAGAACAGCCAGTGCTCCTAATGACTGAGCCATCTCTCCAGCCCCTGTATGGTGAATTTAAACCAATTTATTAATTATTTATTATGCATACGGTTGGGCATGGGAGGGCTCCTGAATGCTGTCACACGTGTGGGAGCCCAGAGGACAACTTTGTGGATGGAGTTCTCTCCCATTTTTACATGCGTTCAGGTTCTGGGGTTCTGGGACTTGAACTCAGGTCCTACAGCTTACGCCCCACTGAGCTCTGTACAGTGCATTTCAGGCCCCATCCTTCAGAGGGCAGGATCCCACTCGCAACCCCACAGCACAGTGCCGACCTACCACAAGCCAGGGCCTTCACACAGGGCTGCCCTGTGTGAACATCACTCCTGCTACTGTGACAGACAGGAGGACTAAGTAACAGTCACGTGGCAGAGCAGAGGCTCCTTCCAGACCACGCCACGTGTGTCCTGCACAGGGGACACAGGAAACAAAGCAAGGGCCAAAGTCTTGTCCTTCTCCACCGTCCAACCGAGGGATGGAGGGATCCGAGCTCAGGATGTGGGCTCCTCCCCAGCCATTAAAACACAACCCAGTTACCACTGCCCAGGACTCCCTGCAGCACGAACCTGGCCAGGGCAAGGTCCCAGGGGAGCTGAGCAGACACGAGGCCTGTAGCCTTGCAAGCTCGGCTGGCCTTCAGCCCTGCCCTCTTCCCCACCCTGCTTCCAGGGAAGGCTCAGTTTTTAAGACCTTTTGCCTTCACTTCCTCTTTCCCAGTAGGCTCCAATCTCCTCCAGGTTTAGCACAAGGCATCTGGAAAATTTATTCTTCTGAGCAGAAGGCTCCCACACCGGCAAGAAAACATAGACATCCCCTGGAGGGGAGGGGAGGGAGTCTGGGGTTCAGAGAGGCCCACAGCCCAGCTGCCCAGCTGCTGCCAGGAAGAACGTGCCAGCACTGTCTGGCACCTTCCAGAAAGATCCTAAGCCGGTACCCTGAGGGCCTGAGGCAAATGGTGATGGCCAGAGCCTCCCTGCGGAGCGGGAAACTGGTGATGGCAGCGTGCCAAGAAGCAGGGGACAGATGTGCAGCCGCCCTGATAGAGAGCTCCGCAGGCCTGCGTTGTGCCTGGATGAGAGGCGCAGTGATAAGCACAGGCTTGGGGGCTCGCCCAGGTGGCTCTCAGCAACAGGCTGGGTAGGTACCACACCACAGGCTCCATTAGTTCCTGTCGCCATGGTGCCTGACGGGGACAGGGCGGCCTCGGGGGTGGCGCCTTCCCACAGAGGGAAGCAGAAGATGGGAGCCAGGCAACAACCTGGCCATGCGAGGGGGGAGAGGAAGAGGATACTCCTTCATTAACCAGGGAGGAAAAAGGGGAGAATGTCGGACACAGCAGGGTCTCCTCCCACAGGGGTTTCCCAGGCCTCTGCCCCTGAGAAGTGTAAGTGGCTGGGTGAGCTAGGAGGGCACACACACAAATGAAGAGCCATCCGCCCTCCACGAATGGCCACCTTCACAGCTGGAGGGGACAATGGGCAGGACAGGGTAGAAAGTGGCACAGGTTCCAGAGCAGAAGCTTAGGCCCAATGCTCACCCTGCAGGAACCAGCTGACTGACCATGGCAAGTTACTTAACCTCTCTGGGTTCCTTTCTCACCTAAGACAAAATGGTGGGGTTAGACCTTCCACAGGAGCATTTAAAAGATCCAGTAACCATGGATACAGGAAGCAAAAAGCAGCAGCAGCAGCCTGGGATTCAGCTCCTCATGAGACTGTCCCCAGACTCACCTCATAACCTGGCCGCCCTACCATCTGCTCTGACAGGAGAGGCTGGGGACGGAGGCAGCCATTCACAGCAGCAGACAGCAGCAAGGCATGCTAGGGTGGGGGAGCCACGTACCCACGCAAACATCTCAAAGCAGTGACATCACTCAGCTGTGGAAAGCAAGGCTCAGAGAGGTCAAGGGTCAGACTCAAGGTCACCCAGCCTGCTTCTTGTAGAATGATTCAGCCCAGGTCTAGCTTATGGCAAATCCGGGGTCTTTCCACAGTTCCCGTGAGGTGGGCATAGGGATACAGGTCCAGAGAGAGCAAGCTGCAGCCCTCCCTGGCCCAACCTAATCACTGCCCAATCTGTGCATCAACCAGGGTGTCATGACCTGCAGGACACCAAGCTCTAGAAGACCAAAAGACAGAACGGAGGGTCCCCTGCCAGCACCCCAACTGAAGGATGCCATGTACCGCCCCCTTTCTCTCCTCCCCTCTGTCTTCTTGGGCACATCCTTTTTCAGATGTTTTCAAGTTGACTCACTCGAGGGAGCACCTACCAGGGTTCCAAAATTCCAGGAGGTTTTGGAACGTGCCATGTCCCTACCAAGTGTCTCTCCTTGGCCCTTGCAAGGCTCGTCTGCTTCCCAGCTGAGTTCTCAGACAACACACAGGAAGAAAGGGAGGCTAATTCAAAGCTCAGGGACCTGGGGGCAGGGGCCTCGTGGAGCCAGCCTGGGGGCCTGGCCCTCCGCACTGTACCCAGTCTGGCTGATGGCCTCTCAGCTCTCCGCGCTGCGGGAAACAGCCTTTTGGACCTCTTGTGCCTGTCCCTCCCCAGGGACACTGCAGGCTCTGCCTGCCACCGGATCCCAGCATCTGGAACAGTGCCTGGCTCAGAGCAGTCTCTCTATAAATATTTGTGGGATAGATGGGAAGAACAGGAGCACAGAGGAAGGGCAGAGGGCAGAGGGCTCCGTTCCGGCATCCTTGGACCCTGGGAGCTGAATGACCCCTCCCTCTCGCCATCACCATAGAGGAGTCTGAGACGTGCCTGCCACCCCCACTGCAGCACAAGCCTGGCCGGGCCTCATCACTCCTGAGGGCTGCAGGCATATCCCTGTCCCTTTCGTACCTCCATTCCAGCTACCCTTCAGCATAGAGACCAAGTTCCTCCTCCCCCAAAAGGCTACTGGACCTGGTACTTTCAGCCCCCTCATCCCCAGCGGGGTCCTCCCATCCCCAGGGCTCCAGGATTCTTCCTGTCTCTGCACTTTTTGTCACTTTACTAGGTTCCAATGAGACTCAGGCAAACTGCTGGAGCTGAGCCAAGGGGGTAGGGGAAGTCCTGAGCCCCTGGCTGGAACCCTCGGGCACCTGCTGGCTGCGAGAGAGTCAAAAGTCATTGGGACTTATGTGAGTCTCAGGGTGGGAGCAAGAAGGTCCATGGGACAAGGTAAGGGCCAAGGACAGGGCAGAGGTTGGTTGAATGTTCAGCTAAGCCCCCCCAGGGGGGCACAGGGGAGCCCACATAGACTGCTCTCACTCCCCACTCCTGCTGGCCCCGGACCCAAGCCTCTTTTGATTACGTGAGTTCCTGCACTGAGGTCAAACTGGCAGAAGGCAGGCGCCCTGCAGAGAAAACTCCATGCCCCCGGGGAGCATCAACCACCCACACAGTGCCATAGCAAACGTCCAGCCAGCCCCCTGCCTGTGGCTGTCACCTTACACACTCAAAGCTGCCCTGTGTCCTCTGCCCCAACAGAGGGGCAATGGGAGCTGCTTCAACACAGTGCTCTTGGCCTGGGGATGGGGACATTCAAATGTCCCCTGTTTTGTTTAATTATCAGAATGTCCCTACAAACCACGTGGCCCGTATTCCTACTTCTCGGCCAAGAGGACTGAGCCCAGCCAGGATAAGAACTTGTTGGCAGACAGCTCTGCCGAGAAGACAGCGGCAGGCCGGGAACAGGCCTGTCCTGCCCCAGAGCCAAGCTCTTCTCGCACTCCAGGCCTTGTGGAGCTGTCCCTTCCAAGACCTAGCAACAGCCGCAGCATCGGCTGTCACACACCTGTAGCTAGTGAAAGGCTTGGTGTCCTATGCCGGAAGCAGGTGATCCCTCACTTGGTGAAAAGTGTGTGTGTGGGGGGGGGGGGTGTCATCAAAGCCTTAAAGGCACCTCCAGTCCAAAGCCAACTGGGAAGGAGGGATAAAGGCAGTGTATGTGTAGTGGGATTGTGAGCTGGGAATAGGGCAGCCAAGGCTGCTTCCTAGGTCAACGTTCAGGCCCAGACATCACACGCGCGCGCGCACACACACACACACACACGTACAACAGGACCCGGACAGTTTACACACTCAGAACCCCTCCTGAGCTGGTCCTACCTAGCCACCCTTGTGTCTCTCTGCAGGACCCTGGCCAGTCACTGCCACCCAGGCCTCTGCCCAGGACAGGACGAATGGTCTGTTTAGTACGAGTTAGGATTCCAGCCCAAGGGCAGGAAAGTGAGCGCAATTCAGACGCCTGCCTGTCGCCCCTTCCCCAGGGCCACCTGGCCAACTCCTGCCCTGGTTCTTACAAAGCCAGGTCCAATGTCTCAGGGCTGGGACTGCCTCCTACCAGGCAGACAGCTGCATCCTGAGAACAGGCCCCAGGCCTCGGCCCAGCTCATGCAGCTGACTCGCAAAGAAGAGACTATCAACTGCAAAGGTTGTCTAGGCCACCGTCCCGAGTCCCATGTGCCCATGTCCAATGCCTACGCGTCTGGAATCTGCTGCCACCTGCTCCGTAAAGCCATCAGGAAGACTCCAAAGAAAGGCGCTGGGTTGGGAACCTTGGGAAGAAGGAGGCAGCCAGGGAGCCAGCGAGAGGAACTGGCCACTGGGACCTCCGGGTGACCTGCGTGGCTACACTAATTACCAATGTTATCGGGCTGCCGACAGCCTTGCCCTGAACTTCCTCCGTTTGATAGATTCACAGCAAACGCCCAGCTTCAGCCCCAGGCCTGCCGATTCCAGCAGCAGCAGCAGCAGCAGCTTCCACTCCTGCCCCCGATCCTCTAACCTCCTGCCCCACTGCCTCCAAGGTCAGCCAAGCTAGCAAACCAAAGAGAACGCCTCCTGCTGGGCCGTGCCACGCTGAACCAATGATTCCCCCGAGGAACAGAAAACCCCTCTCCTCTGACAACACAGATGCTCCGGGAGAGGAAAGCTACTGCTTACCTTTGTCACTCCTGCCGCTGGGGAGCTCCAGCCCATGGGTCCCTGGCTGGCCAGCCCTTGGCCCGCACAGACCAGGGTCCCGCACTCCACGCAGGCGCCGATGATCAGCTGCCGGCCGTCATCCACCAACAGGCTGTGGCTGGCTCTCAGGGTATACAGGAACAAGGGCAGCCTTGCCACCCTCACCGACTTCAGCCCCAGACACCGCTTCTTCTCTTGCTGGCAGAAGAAGCACACGAACGTGTCCACCTGGTACTGCCTAGACCAGGCGCTGACAGCCTGGTGACCGGCTCTGGCTTCGTGCTGCAGCCACTGACCCAGCAGGTCATGATAGCAGAGCACACAGGTGGCCACCAGGCCGGTGGAGTCTGCGGGCCTGGCCCGCGGGGCGGGCGGGTAGACCGTGAGAAAAGGAAAGAAGGGCTCCTTCTCGCCCAGGTGGCTGCCAGGGTTCAGGCTGAGCTGGAACTCCTTACCCGGCCCCAGCTCGGCCCCGCAGATGTAGCAGACGGCGGGCAGGCCTCCCTGCGCGGAAGCGGGCAGTTCGCTCAGGGTAGGGTCGGAGGCGGAAAAGGCTTGGTGGTACCTGCCCAGGAACCCTTGCACGGAGCTGATGAGTTCGCGGTTGTGGGATGCCCGGTACAGGGCCCAGACGTCCTCCAAGACACTGAAGCACTTGGGGCAGCTGCGAACCTCGCAGCGCTTGTTGGGAGGCCGGGCGTTGGGGGGGCACGGCAGGAGGCTGAGGAAGGGGAAGTGCATGGTGGCTCCCGAGTTGCCGTTGACGATGCGGGAGGGCACGGCCCGGGCGTCCCGCGTGCAGTCCTCCCCGCAGAGGTAGCAGGCCTCCCGCAGCAGCCCCGCGGCGGCGGCGGCGGGCCCCTCCTCCCTAGGGAGTCTCCGGGCCTTGGAGGCCATGCCGGGGGCGTGGCTGCTCAGGGGCACCACGTAGAGCCGCTGCAGGACCGGCACGTTGGCCAGCTCGAAGCTCTGCCATTGGTGCGTGAGGGACGAGAAGCAGCAGGGGCACACGAGGGTGCTGCCCGCCTCGGTGATGGGCTGCGCGCCGGGCGGGGGGCTGTGCAGCCACAGGAAGGGGAAGAAGGGCGCCTGCGACGGCGCCTCCTGCTTCTGCACGTGGATCTGCTGCTGCGACGCCGGCGACAGCGCCGAGCCACACACGTAGCAGCAGCGGGCCTGGCCGTCGGCGGCGGACGTCCGGGGAGGCCGCTCCGGGCCCTCGTCCCCGACGTTCCCGGCCACGTCGCCGCCCTCGGGGGTGCCGCCGCGCTCTGGGGGGCCCGTGGGCCGGCTGGAGGCGACGGCGTCCGCGCCGTCGGGCGCAGGGGGGCCGGCCCAGGGCTCCCCGACGCCCCTCAGCACGCTGGCCCGCGGCTCGGGAGCCCAGGGCGTCCCGGGCCCCGGGCGCCGTCGCCGGGCTCCGGGCCGGGTGGCATCGCGCGCATCGTCGGGCTCGGGCTCCGGCTCGGGCTCGGGCTCCGGCTCGGGCAGCGCGTCGGCGTCCGACAGCTCCGACAGCTCCGAGTCGCGCGCGTCCTCGGCGTTCCAGTCCCGGGCCCCGCGCCGGCCGGCCGCGCTCGCGTCGCACTGGTGCGGCCGCTTGAGCCAGTACACGCGCTTGTCCACGGGCGTGCGCGCGCGCTCGAAGGCGGCCCACTGCTCGGCCAGGAAGCAGCGGCACACGGCGCACACCAGCACGCAGCCATCGGCCGCGCTCAGCCCGCGCGCGCCGGGCGCCGGCTCCTGCTGCTGCAGGAACGGGAAGAAGGGCTGCGCGGGGCCCGCCGGCCTCACCGGCAGCTTCAGCTCCTTGCCGCGCGCGATGCCGCCGCCGCAGATGAAGCACGACAGAGCCGCCGCGCCCGCCGCTGCCATGAGCCTCTGCTTGCGGGAGAGCGGCGCCGCCCGGCCGCTCATGGCCCGGCCGCCGCGCCCGCCTCCGCGCGCCCCGCGGCTGCCGCTGCTCCGGACGCGCGCCCCG